TCTGAAATCATATTACATGAACTTTACTTTCTTCATCTAAATATCCTGATTCAATTTTCATATTAAAGTGTTTGAATGTGACATCATGCATGGAATCAAAAGTAGAAATTTGATGTTCATTCTTACATCCAGGAATATTTTTGATTCTAAACTAGGTTGAAAGAAGCACATCTATAAAGAGAAATTTTATAGATTTTTACAGGGAGATTAAATTGATTGATAAAATACAAAGGACATAAAATTATTTGTACATGAAAAGAGACTTTCAATGAATCTAAAATATAAGAAAGACTATTGGTTCTTTCAGAAATTTTAGTTTAATGTAAGTAAAAGAAAAATAACATATGAAGTACTAAAACTGTCAAGCTTGTTAAGTTAAGGTACTGTAAAACAAAAGCTACAGAAAAAAATCTGATAGTGGTTCAATAAATCTTTGTTGTCTGTTGCATACAATGTATTAAGATGTGCACGTTTTTCCTTTGAAGAACTTTCCATGGGAATTCTCCATTTTTCCAGAATCACCTTTACCCAAGATTTCTATTACAGTCTAAATTTCTTTCTGTATGGTTTATTGTTGGCTACTATTTTTGTAATTATTTATTGTTTGTACCATAGGTTTTTAAAAAAGTAGATATTAAATTAAAACTTGTGAAGCTGCAATCCTTGCGCTTGTGAGGCAGGCCCCCGAACCGCTGAGCCCCCCGCCCATGATTATACATTTTATGTACTATTTTTGTTGCTATTTATATTATTGTGTCTAAATTCTTATGTTTATGCATTCTTTGAAGAAATTTCACCAAATAACACATTTTACATCTTGCCAGAATCTCACTTATATAACAGGGACTGGAAAAATTAACCTCTGTGATTAAAACATATATCTTCGTGTTTACCTTTACATTATTAGTTGTAATCAGTATTAGTTTTTCTTGCATTTACTTCATAGATAGATTATAGTCTTGTAAAAAAGAGAATAACTATTTCTACTCATAGGAATATGCAACATATATACATTTTGAGAAACAATGAGATATTTTATGAAAGAAAAGAATGAATAATAGTTCCAACTGTTTTCCAAAAAATATTTCATTAAGTCTCTAAACATAGGTAGTTTATAATTAAAAATGAATACAAGGGATTAATTTAATGTGTGATATATACCCTTAGTATATAAGCCAAAATAAAACCATCTTAACTAATGATTTTATAGTTGAATATTTGTTTATAATTTTTTTTTTTTTGGTACCCGGGATTGAACTCGGGTCTTTGTGCTTGCAAGGAAGGCCACCAAACCACTGAGCTAAATCCCCGGCCCTATAAATATGTATTTTTAATAGGAGCCACAGAACTAAATGCTTCCCCAATCTAGAAGTCTGTAATTATGAACACAAAATATATATACATATATAGAAAGAGAGATGCATATATATGTGCTTAGACATGTATATGGTTAAAATTGCAAGGCTGTTACTTATTGTTATTACAAATATTCAAATATTCTTCCAAAAATACAATTTACTTCTTTCATAAACTAAAAATATCTGAATTTTCTTTCTCCATATTACTGTTCAATTAAGTGGAAATGCCTTTCATATATTCTAACTACAAGTATAGTTAGCATAATTGACTTTATCATTGTTTTCATTTATTTCTTCAGTTATGTATGTGTATATTCATTAATAGCTGTAAGTACATCTTATCCTTTTTAAGGAAAAAATCCCATTCCATGCTGAGTTCTGAGATTAATTGTCATTAAAACAAATAAGATAACTCTTGTGGTGAGTTGGTCTATTTTAAATATTTGTCCAAATTTTGTTTAGATACTAATAAGTTAGGTACTAATAAGTTATAGTAGGTACTAATAAGTTAGTGCTGATGAAATTAACAAGTCAATTATATTGGTCACTAGCACTAGAATTCTTTATTTCTAAATGACTTTAGTGGTGAATTCCTTTTTCTGACCTACAAAGTTTGAAATTGATGAAATATAATCTATGATCTTCTAGCACTTGTGCTTCAGGAAAAAATAATATTTAAGAAATCTGCAGGTTGTCTGATATAGTATCCAGGTAACGAAGTAAATTTCCTTTATCAGAACACTGTCATGCTTTGAATAAGAAATTTCAAGTCTTGCAAATCTTCTCTTTCTCAAATACGTCTATATTTTCTACATTTGTAGCAAAACAATACAAATCCCACAAAGCAATACCCCTACGATTTATAGCATCTATCTATCTATCTATCTATCTATCTATCTATCTATCTATCTATTCTGTATTTGCTTTAATGCTTATCTGCATACATTTTATTATACAGATTTTTTGATATATTCTGTTTATGAGTTACTTCAAATATATTAACATTTCTCCTTTTTGAGATTTGGCTAGGTTTTATTCATAGTTCTATTTTAATTCACATATCATATATTACATTTTAAGAATAAATTCAATTTTTTTTTCAAATAAAATATTTTTTAAATTTAGATTTTCTAACTAAACTAATGCTGACAATTACCTTTAAAATGATAACATTTTTAGTAGTTATAAAAGCGTATAGGCAATAAACATGATAAATAGTTATTCTGGGTTGAAAGCATAGTTTTTTTAACAGTTTATGTGCTTCATGAATTCTTACTTGTCACTAAGTGATATGCAAAATTAATTATTGTTTCTCTTTGCTATATATACCATACAATACTTTTAAAAATAATGTGTGATATTACATTAGAAATTGTGGATCAAATTATCATAATTTTAATTTTTCTGTAGTGTGTACTTTTTGTCCAGAATCTACATACTGCTTTGCAAATGTATATGATTTTGAAATTAAATACCACCCATGTACCTTTAGTGTTATCTTAAAGATGACTTAGACATGTTTCTATAACTTGCTTAAAAAATGTTTTGCAGTAATTATGTAACTTTGCCTCTAGAGATGAATTTTCTGACTCTGTAATTTAATAACATGGAGCTCCCTGAGTCACTCCTGAATTTCTTAGTACTTTTGGGATCTTGAATGAAAATGAAAACTTAATAAATATTTTTTCTGGAATGCACAATTGTTGGAATAAACACAATCAACAGCATTTGCATTATTAGGGATGGAACTAATGCTTCTCTTTACATGCTTTTTTAAAACACAAGAAATATTTTATATCTCTCAAATTACTGTTAGTAGTCATTTCCAATCTCCATTTTCTAATAAACTTTCTGAAAAATCTAAATTTTGTCTTATCAGCTCAAACATTTACCTCATGACTTTTTTAATGGGTCAGAACTAATGATATTTTGTCAGAATCAATACATTCTACCCAGTATCCTGCAAAATTACAATTATTTTATTATACTTTTAAATTTCTATTACTTTGAAAAGTATTACAAATGGAAAGTCTGTATAATGCCAGATCAATGCTACTATCCCCAACCCATGATTTTTATGATGAGACCAGAAAGCACGTTTCAAGTCTTAATTCAGTTTATGAAACAAATTTTGTAAAATGTGATTGCCACAGAATAATATATAAATTGGATAAAGAAGAATTAAAGCACTTTCTTCTTTGATCTTAGAAATAAATGATACTTTGTTTTTATATTAACAACAGTATAAAGAATTAAATTTAAATAGAAAAAGCTCACATAGAATCTCAATACTATCTCAACATCATTCTAAGAAAAATGGTTATGTCTTATTTGATAATAATATGGATAAGATGTAATTATAGAAGGGGTTTACTGGCCAAATAAACTTAATTGTGTAAATCACAAATTTAAAAATCTTTATTATTGTAGATGTTCTAAGTTTTCATTTTTTGTTTCAACTTTTTTTTGGTACCGGGGATCAAACTCAGGACCTTGTACTTGTGAGACAGGCAGTGGAACCACTGAGCTAAATCTCTGGCCCATTTTTGTATTTCAACTAAAATAATAACATTTACCAAAGCTAAATGTGTAGTATCTTTAAATACACATATTTACAGACTGTGTAACATACATTTAAAATTAAATATTTCTGTAAACTAAACACATATATGCTTATTAGTACAATCTTGGTTGAATAACAATATTAAATGAGACTTACAATAAAAATATAATCAATGGAATAATATACTGTGAATATGCGTGTGTGGTAGATGCCTGAATTTCCAGGATCAAACTCCTTGCTCATTTATCTCCTGTAATTTCTAAATACTTTCCCAAATTTAAAAGTCCAAACATGAGACCTGTTTATTTCTGACCAAAATATTGTCATCATTCAGAGAGATCACCTACTATTTCAATAGCAACTTCTTTTAGCAGGTGAGGATATAGTTCACTTAGTCCCAACCTGGAGATAGGTGTAATCTGATCATGTTTGTGTAACCAGAAGAAATGGTCCCACGCACACGCACAAGTCCATACTCACTTAGGAATAAGTCCACTCTCACTTATCAACATAGGTTATATTTAGCCTGGAAATTCCTTACAGATACATGTGTCATCACAAAAGTTCCTTTTGTTGGTTTAATAGTAGAAGAGATATTTATATTCTTGAGCCAGGATTAGTACAAATGTTCATCCTTTCTTATCATGAAAACTGGATCATGTCTACATTATTATTGAGAGAAAGAAAGTATTTGTCAATATGGAAAATGCTATAGGAACACACGGAAATGTAGGTACTGTTGTTTACATCTAGAAAAAAATTATCTATACTAGATATTTGATATATAGATATTTGATCAAATCTATGTCAATTTTGCAAAAACTTAAACTTTATTTCATGATCTGATAAAACATTCCATTTTAAAGCTTATTTACTGCCTTTTAGCTAAGAAATGAGTTTTCTGATTATGATTAGAAAGATATCAAATGGAGGGTTTTTAAATTACAGAATATATTGGAAGATACAGCATGTATTTTTTGTATAAATGTTTGGATTTACATTTTCAAATAATTTCATGTTATATTTCACTTTAAAAATATAATCATTTCTTAACATAAATCTGATACATCACTGAAGATGTGCAGTTTACCATCAGAATAAACGAAGTCAAATTAATTTATAACCAGATGGCAACATCAGATTTTACATCTTGGAATTCATTGTAGGTAAATGAGCGTGATCGTCTCCTTAGATTTGTTGGTCTCTTAGGTCTTCCTTCTATCAAGTCTAAATAGATGTCAGATTTCAGAAAACGCATATAACTGTCTTGTTCCATGAGCTGATACACTCTGCTTTGTGCAGCATCGAAACTGTGGAGTGTGGGATCAGTGATACTCTTAGCAATGATTTCTTTGGTGCAAAAATCAAGATTAACCTGTACAGGCAGAAAAATGAAAACATGTAGTCAGTCTATTTAAGCAGTCACCTTTGCGAACCCAGTTCAGGATGGATATAATATTGTGTCTTAGATACTGTGTGCTTAGATGGCTGTCTATTTTTTTTCTCTAGGTTTGAGGAATTCAGTAATTTATTCTTGGCTGGCAGTTAAATTGACTTCTCTTTCTCTATGCACCTGGGCTTAATTCTTACTCTCTTAGCATAGCTGAATGTTGCAATGGTATGTCATACAGATTGTTGATTTAGCTCATTCATTTTCAAGGAGAAGAACTGAAGTTCAAAAAGGTTAAACTATCTCAATGATGGAAAACATTGAGCTGGGGTGTATGGCAGATTTCAAGTTAACAGCATTTGTTAATCCCAGTGCTCATTTCACTATGTTATGATGATTTCCTACGTGCAAATATATGCTAAAGTGTGACTGTCTCTAAAAGATACACAATCTTTAATGACTTTTATCATAGTACTAATGATATAGCTAGTTCCAGTGGTGGGGTGTTTTCAGGTAGGGTCCTTAGTTTCCTTATAGCTAGCTACTTTTTTTTTTAAAGATATGTATAACGTTGGTGTTGGAGAAGATGGAATACTACATTGAAAAATAACAGATTGAAACCTACCAAAGAAAGGAAACTGACCATCATTTCTTGTAGAGAAAATCTCTACATAGATGATGCTACTTTATCAGCAGTGTTAAAGTTTAGATTGTAAATGTTTCCCATAGGCCCATAAGTTAAGAATGTGATTGCTAGTCTTTGTGCTACTGGAAGGTGGTGGAACCTTTAGAAGGGGTCTAACAGAAGGTAGTTATGTCTTAGGGGCGTATTCTTCTTGGGAGAGTGGGTCCCTCTCTTTATTCTCCTTGCTTCTAAGCTATGAGGTATGTAATTTCTTCTGCCATGCAACTCTACTATGACATACTATGATGTACCTGATCTGCCACAAGGCTGAAGCAAAAGGGCCAAGTGATCATGGATGAAAACTGAAAGTATGAGCCAAAATAAACCTTTCTTCCTTTGGGTTGATTTATCTCAGGTACTTGTCATAGAAAACTAATATCGACAGTATTCATTTATAGTCAAACAAAACTTTTAACAGTGACAAAGTCTCCGTTTTACCACCTAAATGAAACACATAATTTAAGCAAGATACCAAAATTGTTTTTCACTTGAACCATTGCAAGTTAGTTTCCATTGTTTCTCCACTATGAAATTTTCTTTTAACTAATGCTACAACAGAGAAATAATTCTTTGTTGAAAAAAATTTTTGCATAGGTAGACATTATAATATGAAAATGGTGAATATCTTGATTTCTCTAACCTTTATCATTTATAGAGATACTCAGTTTCTATGTGAGGTTTCTTTTGTAAAGGCCTTAATATGAAATGTAATTATTTTTGTATTTATTTTTTAGTCAAGATGAAAATAACTGTAAGGAGTGACTTCAATTATACATTTTCTTCCATTGTTATAACTTATAATGTGTCATATTTTATACATACATCTATGTAAATAATATTTTGCTTTGACAAAGTCTTACACTTTGTGCTAGATTATGTGGGATAACAGTTTGATGAAGGCATATTTTTCAAGTAGTTATACATTTTTCTTATCATCTTTACCTCTTTTGGAGCATCATTCTGTATAAAATTCTTGTATATTGATTTTGCTTTAACAATAAGTTGTTGAGGTTCCTTGCTTTTCTTGAAATCTTCACAGGCTATCCAAAATTCAATGTTTTCTTCGCTGAATTCAGTTTTAAGAAATCTGGTAAAAGCATCCAGTCCATCTACCAAAACATGTTTTAAGTGGAAAATGTCAATGCTGAAAAATATACTACTTGATATTGAGGTGTAACTACATATATTAACAGAAAAGCTATGAATTTAACACACCACAGCAGCACACACCTTCACAGTATACCTCTGTCCTCTTAGAAATTACCTCTCATTTCACAGCTATGAAAGGTAAGCATCATTCCTGTTGAAATAAGGCTAGTATACACAGGTCTAAGTCCTTAGTTACCTAAGAGTAAGTGGGACTTGTATTATGGATTTCAGGTCTCTTTTATCCATTTGTCTTCCAGCGTATGAAGGTTTATTTTACAGACTTAAACAATTTTTTCTTTAGAACTCATCCTGCCCCTTTCTAGACAAATTTCCTGTACAGAGGCTTTTTGTTTTCAGGGTTTCAATAATTTTCTTTGCCCAAGTATATCCACCAGAAGGACACTCACTCCTTGGTAAGCATGTAGTCCCAAGTATGGACAGGGCTTAAATTTGCAGATTCCAGAGTTTCCTCAAATGTCAAAGAGCCTTCCCACAATACAGAGATAAACCATGTATGGAAAGAAAAGAGTATAGAATGAGGAAGAGTCTATGGATTTTAAATTCAAAAGTTATCTTTCAAATGGTTTACAGAGTGTATTTGTCAAAGCCAAAAGACAAAATGTGTCTTTTAAACATTTGTTACAGTGATTTATAATACTTAACCATTTAGATTTAGAGTATGCGGTGTTCTTTCTTTTACTCCTGCCCCATAAATTATAGAGGCAGTTATCAAATCTTATGGAAGCCTCCTTAGATTCAAATTCATATTCATCTTGATATTTGTGGCCTTGAATTTATTAGTTTTTCTTATTGTGCTTCAGTTTCTCAATTAAAAATAAGATAATGATAGCTATTTGATGGAGCTACTTAGAAAATTAAATATGGTAAGTATGCAAAAATATTTTTTATAACAAAAATAATGTTTCATGATCTTGAATATATTTTCATTTGCTAATCTCTCAGCTTATTGCCTCATACTACATCTTTTTTTTGCTGAAATAATTTTAAGTATTCACAAAGTATCTCACATTTTGTATAATCTTGACCCTTTCTTCCTATTTTACAGTTTTTATTCTTGTTAGTCTTTATTTTCACTTTTAGTTTCTCATACCAGAGAAGCAATGCAATATTATATATGTGTCTTCGACTTATTTCCTTTAAGAGAGTGTTCTCTAGGTGCATCCATTTACCTGGAAATGTCCGAAGTTTATCTTCTTTATGGCTAAATACTTCTCCATTATACATAAAAAAACCACATCTTTCTTATCTTCCCAAAATAATTGAAAGTATCATACCACAGTGATGTATGTGCACCTATGTTTATAGCAGCACAATTTGGAATAGCTAAATCTTGCAAACAACCCAAATGCCCGTCAACTGATGAACAGATAAAAAAGACTTTTTTATTAATATGTACTTGTATTACATTAAAAGAAAATTTAAACATTAAAAATTAAAAAAGAAAGACTAGTCTGTAATTCTCTTTTATGACACCTACACTGCTGAATTCCCTCTCATACCTCTACTTTTGCTTTTCTGTATCCTTTTCAGCTTATACGTTTTCATCTTTCAAGTATCTTTTTGTGGGAAATCCTGTCAAATATAATCAATATTTCGATGATCCTCAGAACTCACGTCCCTTCTTCTTCCTGAGCTTCAAAGCTTAGGTGGACCAATATGTGGTGAATATTTCCAGTGAATTTCATAGCAAAATGGTCTTGTCATATTTCAAGTAATCTTCTTCACTTCAAACCTATTCTTTATATAAGGGTGGATCAACAATGTGTCATTAAACACGTTATTATAGTAAAAGATGCATTGTCATTAGTCCTCCTCAAAATACTTCCTCATGTCAAGTACAATTATTCCGTCATCATTTCCATTTTCTGAAGCAGTTTTGGAAATCCTATTTCATAAATGTCTATGTTTTGTGATCAAAACTATGCTGTTGCCAAGTGCCATTCAATAAAAAGACAGGCTCATAAAAACATTACTGTGTGTCCTCTTCAATGTATTTCACCGAATCTGGCACTATGCAACTTCTGGCTCTACTCCAAAGTCAAAATGGCTGTGAAATGTAAATGTTCTGAATGCATCAGGCAGCCAGGACAGCACAAGCTAAAGATGCTTGTGGAAGGGAACTTCCTGAACTACTTCAGAAAGTGGCAAGAACAGTGTGATAAGTGTGTTCAAAATGAGGGAGACTAATTTGAGGAAGATTAATGGTAATGAGCCTTTTATTGTAATGATTAAAAATTTAAATATGTGCTGTATTTTGAGATAATACTTCATATATTTCTCATTCCATAACACAATTCACTAAGGGACATAAGCTAGAAACAACCCTGACACTATCCTCAGGCTACCATTTTCCCCATACCCCTGTGTAGTTCATAATTAAATTTTGTCAATTTTATTTACCATAGCCTACATAATTTTCATTTTATGAAAACTACTACTGCTTTAATCAGATCAGAGTCAACTCTTATGTAGATTATTGTAAGAAACTCTTGACCATGATTCTGGCTCCAGGTTTCCCGTGATTTTGCCTCCATCCTCTTAGTCCACCAGGGTCTAGTCAGTAACATCCCCCTATAGACAGATTGCATGACGATTCTTCACTGTTTAAAATTTTCCACTGGTGCCCACTTTCATCACCTTCTAAGCTCCAATCACAGAGAAATCCTCGCAGTTCCACACATATACCTCACATCCACGTCTCTTAGCTCTAGCTCCTGTTGGAAATGCTTTGCCAACTTCATCAATCTGATTTCTTCAGTCTAGTTCACATAGTCCATTAACATTTAAATTTCAGGTTATCTTGTTTGGAAAAATTCCATCACTCCTCCAGGAATAAGTTGGGTGCCCTTTATATATGGCCTGCTAGTGTTTTGGACAACACTGAAAATACAATACTGCACTTTTGTTTGCTTTGTTACATTATGAGATTCACAAGATAAAAATTCCTGTCTAATTTTCCACCAAATTTCCAGTGTCCAATATGAAGAAATCACTGAATAATTGCTTACTAAAAATAATAATTGAATTGATAATAAAAATCTAAAATTTTTGTAAAAAACATAAAATTTAATTAATATTTAATTTAAAATACAAAGTACAGATTCAGAAAATATTCTATATTATAAACAAACTGTAATATGTATAACATATTACCTATATATATATAGTATACATATATATGAACCTATAATATGTATAACACAAATTGATTATTGGAGCCAGTTACATAAAAAGCAAAGAAAGAAGAAACAAAAATATTTTATTATAATTATGTAATTAAAAATACAAATATATGTAATTAAAATATACCAGACTCTATAAAGAAATCAGTCTTTTCCCAAACCTAATGCCACAAAACATTTAATTAATATTCAAATTTTGTGTCTGGAAAGCAATTTTTATTATGATTTGGCTTCTTATCTGTATATATAAAAAGTTAGGGAAATAGCTATCAGTGACAGTTTTATTTCTTAATCCACATTGCTCAGTTGGAACTCAGCTTCAAGAGTTTTGCCTGTGTGAACTACAGGAAGAATTGGGGCCTTGTTGGCATGCTAGGAAGATGACAACATCAATTCTGTGAGGTTTGACAGCAGCCTATATGGGCGTCAGAGAAGCCGACAAACCTTCCTGAAGGCCCACCGCCCTGGTATATCACTGTGAGTTTCCTAAGCATTCTACATTCTGTAGGGCATTCTTAATCTTGGTCAACCGTTTCGCTAGATATGTGCACTGCATACTGAACAAGACATTAGTTTATTGAAAAATATTTGTTGTGTACTATGTTCCAATCAGTGTTCTAGAAAACCAACAATTCAAAGGGCAGACAAATTCCCCAATTTAATGTTTGATTTATAGAGTCTTACCTTAAGCAGAAAAAATATTGCTATTAAATACAGAGTAGTGTTTCTGGTGTGTGAAACTGAAAGTGTAAATGAGGGTCAAACGGCATAATAGATTTTATGAAATAGGAAGAAACGGTCTAAAGGGGAAGGGGAGGGGTTAGGGGAAAGGTAAGATAGAATGCAATTAATATGAGAAAATGAAAAAGTAGAAACAAATTCCTTTTAAATAGGGAATGGTGGAGGGGTTGAAGGGAGGGCCGGGAATGGGGAAAAAAATAACCAAGATAATGTAAAGGTACAAATTTGCAATGATGAGTGTCGTTATATTGTATACCTAGAATGTACCAATAAAATTAATTAAAAATATAAAAGAGGAGGGTGTGACAGGGTAACTAAATCAGACTCACCCTCTGAGAATAAATAGCTATGAAATTGGACAAAAATAAATAGTAGAATGATAGATGCAATCCGATTTATATCAAAGATGACATTAAATTTAAATGGACTAAATACTCCAATTACAAGTCAAATTATCAGTTAATTAAAAAATAAAACCAGACTACATACTGTCTAGAAGAAACTCAGATCAGGGAGATGAAGAAAAAGGATGAAAATGACACAAAAGGCAGATGTTAAATGTAACAAATCTACATAAAACATCTAATGTGACCAGATAAAATGATTTTAAAATAAAAAGTATTTTGATTTCAGAATTATAAAATAATCAATCATTAGTAGGATATAACAATTCCAAATATGTATAATCTTAATTGAGAGTTTAAAAATATGTGAAGCAAACCAATTGAACTAAAAATAGAAAAATTCTCAATTATAGGTAGAGATACTAACTCAGTTCATTAATTGATAAAATAAATAGACAATATCAGTCACATATAAAATGTGAAAACATTTTAAACCAAATCAACCTAATTGACAATTATAAAACACTCATCACATCTTTTCAAGTGCAGAAGGACAGTTATTGAAGATATACTACATTCTAGAACATAAAATGAGTCATACATTTATTTTAAAAGTTTGATATCTTACAGAATATGCCTTTTCTGTAACTTTTTTTTCATTTTTTCTTTTCT